GGATGGGGGGGTCATACCTGGAATCAGATGACCTAGTGAGTCACATGCAAGATGTAGGACAAGATAGGGTCCTTGAGCCTTAGTTTACCTTCCATGATACAGGACTTCCTCTCTACCTTTCACACTGGCATTATTTAAATAAAAGAGCATTTACAAAACTCTGTGATAAGTATAAGTGACAAAATACATGCATGTTTTCTTTCATTAATTTCATGTTTGTGGCCTCCAGTGTCCAGCAAACTCATCTGGCAACTTCCTGCAAGCCAGAGACTCTCTCTGTGCCTTACTTGAGCCACTGGAACACCTGAGCCCAAGGTACTGCTGGACTAATCCCCTGGTAGTTTGACTGGCCTGGGACTAAGCACCTAGATATTTGAAATCATCTAGTTCATGCAAAAAAAAAAAATCACTTTTCCCTGGGATTTTAAAATGTGATCATAATAGCATTTGAAGAAATCGCAATAAAATGCTGAGAAATCATTGGCCATCATCCAAATGCCATGAAGCATTATCTCTTCCGTTAATTGGGCTGTAAGTGACAGATGGAGGATGCAAATTCAGAACCACCTGGCACCCAGTCCCTGCCCTTCCCACCTGGGTGCGCTATTGATGCCATTAAATTGCTCTTCCTGTGTCCTTAGCTTTTAAAATAAGCAAGGGATTAGCCACCAATCCCAGACTGGGAAGTTGGCCATAGGGAGTCTTTAAGGACTACTGACCCATTGCTTGGGGTGGGTCTGACTTATTAAGCAAGTCCATAGATTAGACAGACAGTTGCAACAGGTATTCACAGCTCCTGAAAGAGCTCCCATCTAAACCGTGCAGCTCAGCCGTACTTTTTTTTTTTTTAACCAGGATTTGAACCCAGGGGCACTTAACCACTGAGCACATTCCCCCGCCCCTTTTTTATATTTTATTTAGAGACAGAGTCTTGCTGAGCTGCTCAGGGCCTCGCTAAATTGCCGATGCTGGCTTTGAACTTGCGATCCTCCTGCCTCAGCCTCCAGAGCCTCTGGGATTATAGAGGAGCACTACCGCACCGCGCAGCACTTACCTTTATTTCTTTGGAGGAGGATTGGCCAGAGGCCTTTTTGCCTCCCTTGGAGGATTTGGAGGAGGTGGAGGAAACGCCCTGCGTGCGGTGGGCCTTGAGGTCGCTGAAGCTGTTGAGGTACTTCTTGCGCAGGGCCAGCAGCTCCTGCAGGTACTGCAGACAGTCCTGGGTGCGCGAATACATCCAGGCCCGGTCCTCCTCCTGGGGAGGGTAGTACAGGCTGCTGTCCATGCTGCTCGTGCTTCTGTACTTCTTCAAGGACTCACTGAATTTCTCACCGTGGTCCCCGACCACGTACATGGAGCTGCTGCGAATGAGCCTCACGGTGGGACCGGCTCCGTTGCAGTAGGGGCTCTCCGCAGCAGCCTTCCTCTGCCGGCTGGAGCTAAAGATGGAGTGGATCTTTCTGAACATGGTGCTCGATTTCTCTCTGTGGGTAGCTTCCAGCTGCCTGCACTGCCGCCACTTGATCTAGCTGGAGGTAGAGGAGTCGACATCCAGGCCCCGCGCCATCTGCCTTCCAGGAGGCTCGGATCTCTGGAATCCCAGCGAGTGCCGCCTGGGTCAGACTGGCGACGTGCGCATCTCTCCTGGGGGGGATACTTACCTCCAATAATTGAGGTGCCATAGACAATCTGAAGACAGAAGGTCGTGCGCTGTGAGCTCAAAGGCAAGCGCCCTGGCTGGCCTTAGGAATCATTCGTCCAAGTGCCTTGGGTGTTCTGCGATGGGAGACCCTGATTGGATGGGGACAGTGTGACGATGCTTTACCTGCTCAGTTATTTTCTTTCCTTTTCATTTTCCTTCTCTGGACGTGGTCTCGATCAGTTGGACTTGCTCTATGACTGGATGTTTACATTTCCACCTTGCCTGAGCTGGCCCTGGTGCTGAATTCTCTGGTTCCAAAATGAAATCCTACTTAACAGAGACACCCCTCAACCAAAACGTGTGTGCTTCTCAAGATAAAATCCAGAACAGCGAGATGTGACCAGGGCCCTTGGCAAGAGCTCCAAGATGCCCCGATAAGCTGGGCTCTGAGCAGGCATCCGAGCGACCTGGAGGAGCCTCGCCCTGTGGTAAGGGGACCTCGCAGCCGTCACCGGATAGCAGCCCTTTTGTGGAGGGGAGAGGATTCAGGTGTCCATCGGCACTGCGACTTTTTGCATAAAAGTTCATTGAGCTGAAGAGTGGCTGCTTATATGGGGAAGACTTGTTCTTTCAGCTGAGCACATTTTAATTTAGACCCTTTAAAATCAGACATCCACTATTTTTTTTTTTTTTCTTTTCAAGAGCACTATATGAGTACATCACTATCCCAGAGATGTTCCCTTTAGGGGTTTTCTCAGGCTGGTGCTAAACATCGTTATTGCACTCATTTCTCTACACAGTCTATTTCTCTCCTAGAATTCAATTGGAGAGCTCTAGGACCATTTTCTTAAGCCGGGATAGGTGTTAGCGCAGATGACAAGCCCCAGAAATCGCATGTAAAGTGTTATTGGATGTATGCATTAACACACTTTATTTTTGCCAATTGCTGGATTTGTTATACTTTATTGGTTTTTGAAAGAGAAAGGGTTCACAATTTTATCAGACACAAAGAAAGACATTTTAAATGTTTATAAGCTGCTCTAAAACAATAACTATGCCTTTTATGTAGCTATAAAGTAACATTATAAATGTATTGGGACCCAGGGCATCCTCTGCGGGTGGCACTCTCCTTGATGCTATGGGGATATAGCTCCTCATATGTAAAAGCACCTAAGGACTTTAGGGCTGATGGAACATTGCCACACATATTATTTATTACTTGTAGCTTCCTTGGAGAGAAGTGTCATTTCCATTATTATCTTTAATGGTCATCAGTTCACAGATGACAAAGGGCACCCTGAGGGGTTAGGAGCCTTGTTTAAGGTCTAAATGTTCCAGCTTCAACCTGATATGTCCCCTCCCTTCTGGGGACACATTAAGTCACCAGGATCCTAGGTCTCCTGGGAGGTCTCTTCTGGCCCATTTCTCTGGCTTCACTCGGGCACAATATCAAAGTACCCAGGGTAGACAGGGGCTGGTGTCATTTCTTCAGAGGTAACCAAGGACTGTGACACACAGCGTTTCTAAGTGGTTCATGCCAGTGTGCTTATGATTATGCTTATTCTACACGGATTGAGAAAAAAGTATAAATAGATAAAAATTCTATCTACTTTCCTATTCCAGATTGTCATGTGTGACTAACCTCTTGATCACAAAGGAAATAAAACTAACTTCCTATACATTTTCCTCCTCCTCCTTCTTCTTCTTCCCCTGTCTCTCCCTCTCTCCCTCCCTCCCTCCCCCCCTCTCTCCCCCTACATCCTTTTTGAATTGTTTCCGAGATGAAGAACATCAAGAGAAAACTATTCTGATGTCAACTTGCAGAGCATTGCATGCATGCTAATGGACAGGACATTCTGCAGCAGGTACAACCCAACTGGCTGACTCTCATCACCTGTTGTGTCAACCCTGCCCCTGAAGCCACCCCTCCAGAGCTCCTACTAAGGTGATTCAGGGAAGAGAATACTGCCTGCCTACAAAATACCCATCATCTCTGCAGGATGAAGGAAATGCATCTGGAATGGCAACTGCCTCTATTGTGCCTTATTTAGATTGTGCTCATGGCCTTAATGAGACCTGGGGGTGAAATCATGCTTGAGTTTTAAAAAGTACATTTTGAGGACACCCCAAATACCCTCCAAACCCCAAATCAGGCATCCCTCTTTCCTTGCATCCTGGAGAACTATAGAGAATCACCTGGGCAGGAAGAGCAAAGAGGCCTCTTCCCATCGCCCAGCCCAGCCCTGCACACCAGCCCCACGATGCTCCCCGCTGGACACAGAGTTCAACAAAAGAATCTGCCTAAAGTGACTTGATCTAACAAACCTCACTTTATTCTAGAATTTCTCAAAACTTTAAAGATCAGAATTCCAGGACAGCAGCAGAAGTTGGGAGAATTTGGTCTGTAGTAATGCCGGCAGGGTCAGCCCTGGACACCAGGTGGAGAAGAGAGTGATTAAACACCTGCCTGTTCTGAGGAAGCCTTGTCTTCTGGTAATGCTCATGGCTTAGGGAGGAGGGTGGAGTGGTGGGAAAGAAGGCAAGTATGAGCCTCGTGGATCCAGTTTGAATCTCAGCTTGATGACCTATCACCTTACAAAAGTTATTTAAACCCTCTGAGCTCTGGATCTTCTATCTGCAAAAGTTCACACCACCTATTTCATAGAACTGTTGCAATGATGAAATGAGATTGCATTGAATGAGTGTTCAACCAAAACCACAGACTACCTATTTCATAGGGTTCTTATGATTAAATGAGACAATATATCCTTTGGCCTCCAAATTTTCTCTCTCATCCTGTCTCCTCTGGTAATCACAGTGTTATTCTCTATCTCTGTGTATTCAGTATTGTTTTTTTTTATGCAGAGTTTTTCTTTCTATATTAACATGGTGTCCTCTGGGCCCATCCATGTTGTGGAAAGTGGCAGGCAGGATCTCCTTTTTAAGGTTAAATCATGTTCCACTGAATATAGGTTTTTTAATTCATGGATTGATCAATAGAAACTTTCAGTGTTTCTGTATCTTAGTTATTGTAAATAATGCTGTAGTATGCAGATATGTAGGGTAAATAAATCTAGAGATCTAATGCACACCATGAGAACTATAGGGCTGTATTTGGGGTTTGCCCAAAGAATAAGTTTTAGGTGTTCTTGCCCCAAAATGGAGGTAACTGTATGAGATAATGAATATGTTTGGAATGTATATCAAGACATTATGTTGTATGCCTTAAATAGATACAATAAAATAAATAAATAATTTAAAATGAGATAATAGTGCTTAACCATCTTATTTGCTTAAAAGTAGCAATTATTACTTTCTAACAATATGAAATATCATTACTGCTACTTCTATTTTGCAGGTCCCACCATATAGTTGACAAACTATTATCCCAGCCAAACATTTTTGATTCAGTCCTAATTCAAGAGGCCTCTTGTCCTTCAATATTTGAAGAGATCCACTAAGTCAAATGGATCCACTTTAGTAACAGTTGATTTGGATACTACTGGATTACCTGCTGCTCTGAATAAGGTGGTCCCCTGAGATGCTGGTTGGTTACTCTGTTGGGACAGCCCACCTGCTCATAGGACATCTGTCTGGATATCCCATCCCTACCCAGCATGCATTCAGGTGAGCACCTCATCATTTTTCCCCATAGCTTGGTGCATGACAGTAAAGGCCAGGTCAAGGTCATGCCTCCTTCAATCCCACCCACCTGCAACTGCCCTTCCCATAAAGAGTCCTGGCTCACAGAAGTCAATTGATACCTTTGTCCCCTAATGGCACATCTAGGAATTCCCCTGGCTTTGTCCCTGACAGGAAAGTGACTTTCAGTCAGCTCAGCATTTCCCAGAAGGCTGGTGAAATGTCAGGGGTGGGGGCAGGTGGGCGAGAGGAACAAAGGAAGAGACAGAGGAAGAGGGGGGGGGGGAGCTGAGAAAAGGAAGAGATCAAATATCTGTGTTGAATATTTAATGCAGGGTAAGATTACAAAGTTCGACAACGTGTATCCCATGTCCCTGTCGTCCATCTGAACAGCGTATTAGAACATTTCACTTTCTGTTTGTGCTACGAAGGGTGAGGAGAAGAATTTTCACTGGAGACCTGCTTCCCTGGCTCAGGCGACAATGCCCTGTACTTTGGATCTTTGATCAACAAGTGAAAATGGACCTCTGTCTGATGAAGCCCCGTCCCCTCCCCCGCCCGGGGGCAGAGCAGCTCCAGGGCTCCCTGGGCTGGACCCTCCACACACAAAGCAGAACGTGAGGTGGCTTTGCCAGCCCGCAGACTCTAACTGGCTTGGAGATCCCCAAAACATGAGCCTCTGAGCCAACATCAGCTCCTCTGAAGTTTACAAGACCCAAGGTCCTGGTGCCTGAGGACATGGAGGGCAGATGGCAGGACTCATGTCCCCCTCAGAAGCACAGCCCCAATTCGGGAACATTGTATGCATCCGTGCTGATGGACTGGAGGCAGGATGGGCACATCTGACAGTGGGGGGCAGGGTAACTCAGCAAAGCCAGGATTAGCCAGGAGTGATGAAGAGGGGTCATTAGGCAGTTAAAGGATAGTAAAAGGGGGGCCTTTGAAGGCCAGGTCTACAATGTTTTATTTATTTATTTATTTATTTATTTAATTTTGCAGTACTGGGGATCAAACCCAGGGCTGTGTACATATGAGGCAAGTGCTCTATCTGAGTTATGTCCCTGGCTATAACTCTGGATTTGAGTCCACAGGGTACCCTTTATCAGAGCCCATAAACTATCTTCATTTAATTTTAGAAAAAGTGCCCCCTAGAGGTGGAGGCCAGGCAAGTAGTCCCTACTGGCCCCCTAGGCAGGGTTCTCCATCTCAGGACCCAACCCACACAATCTGGCAGCCCTGATTGGTTCAAAACAGAAGATAATGTGCCAATGGAATTTGAGAAAATTCCACTTAGAGATCAGAAAGAGGAGCTCCATAAGACTCAAGAAAGCTCAGTGCTTCATTTATCTATTGTGCAAACCATCAGAACACCTGCTGGCTTAAGACAGCAATCGTATTTGTTCACGAGTCTGCAGTTAGACTTCTGTATTTCTGCTGGGCATGCCAGTGGCACTCCTGTAACTGCATTCAGTAGTGGATTGGCTGGGGTTGGGCTCCGTTGGGACACTGGCCTCTCCCTCTCCACATGCTATCTCCAGCACCATGGCTGGCATTTTTACACAGTTTGCTCAGGACTTCCAACAGGGCAAAGTCAGAAAGTGCCAAGACTTCAGGCGAAAACTGGGAACCAGCTTCGGTTCCCTTCTGCCACATTCTGTTGATTTGGTCAAGTCACATGACCAGCTCAGATTAAGGGGAAGGGACTACACCTGGATGTGAGTATTAGAAGGCATGGCCCCTGGCAGCCATCAGCATTAATTAACTGCCAATCTACTAAGAGCTAAGATGACCATCCAAGTAGGATGAGGAATTCAGGCCTCACTGGGAGGTAGTCAGTGAATACATTTTTCTTTTAGGAATAATCTCAAAATAATTTATATTTGATTTGGGGTATAGTCTTGTTATGCTTTGGATATGAGGTATCCCCGTCCCCACCAAAAGCTCTTATATTAATGCCGGAGGTAAAATGATTAGATTATGAGAACTGTGACCTAATCAGTGGATTGATCCATTTGATGGATTGGTAATCTGAAAGATCTAACTGGGTAGTGACTGCAGGCAGGTGGGATGTGGCTAGAGAGGGTGGGTGACTAAGGGCATATCCCTGGCATCTCTCACCCTCTCTCTGCATCCTGACCACCACGAGGTGAGAAGCTTTCCTCTGCCCTGATCTGCCTCAGGCCCACAGCAGCAGTCAGCCAACCATGGACCAAACCTCTGAAACTGTGAGCCCAAAATAAACGTTTCCTCCTCTAAGTTGTTCTTGACAGGTATTTTGATCAATCACACTGAGAATCTTACTAACACAAGTATATAACCCCAGTTTCATGAATGCTTATGCCTCTATCAAACATTCACTTAATAATCAACAGAAAGATTGATTGTGGTTTTCTAATCTCCAGGTAGGAGACTGAGCCTCATGGTGCTTTAGGAATGGAATAATATAAAATATCTACTTGGCCAGTTATTTCATCGATACACACATCCCATCTCCTCCTGCCTACCTCTCTCCTCTCTCCTCCCAGTTTTTCCCTTTCCCTTTTCTCTCCAACTGAAGGGTATTATATTAGAATATCAGTTTGGTTTCCATAACAGAGATAAGAATATACACACTTATTTCTTGTGTAACACTGTGGAGGACAGATGTCTATGCTCTACCGGGGACATCCAGGGGTCCAGGCTCCTTCCATCTCATTGTTCCTTCGTCCTCTGGGCTTATTGGTTCAAAATAAACTATCCTTGTTTTAATTGATAGGAAAACAGAAAAGAAATGGGTTTGCATACTCCTTCAATGTTACTCACCTCCCATCAGCCAGAATCTATTCACATGCTGACCCAGAACTGCAGGAGAAGCTGAGAAATGTCGTCTTTCATGCATTAGACATGTCCATCTCCAATTTCTATGGCTATAGCAGTTCTTGGGGGTGGGGGTGAGGTGGGCAGGGACAACCAGCAATCTCTGGCAAATGACTTGGTTTCCTTTGTAGTGTTAGGAAAGGAGAAAGATAAAACCGATGAAGAGATTTCCTTCTCCTAAACCTAGAGTAGAGATGCTACAGGAAAAACTACATTCCAGGTTTTCACTAAATTTCTGACTTTTGTTCCCCAGGCAAGACATTTTCTAGTGGAGGAACCCCAGCACATCTCCTAAAGCAGCAGGAGTGAGCCACAATGAAGAAGGAACTAGAGCCACACTGACTAGCCATTCAAGGTGGCGGCAGCTATGTGTGGGCATGGATTGGAAGTAGTGGCTCTTCTTCAGGCAGCAGCTTTTAGGTGAAAGTATCCTGTGCACCAGGTGATCATGCATTCAATTTGGCACCAGGTGATCATGCATTCAACTTGGCTGTTATTTGTCTGTGTCTTAATTATGAACAGCAATCCAAGAGTGGGTCCTTTAGCTACACAAAACCACAGCAGAGCCCAGGGTGCCACAGCCACAGCCAGCATGGCCTTTGGACACATGCCCAAGAGTATGGCCAGCCCCATGACTCCCAGCACGGAGCAAGGCACAGAGTCTTGGAGGGGAAGAGTAGAGCAGGCCTACAACTGTTTCGGTCAACAGCACGTGGGGACCCTGGGAAAGCACTGCTTGATAGGAATGAAGTAATCTTCACTCAGCCTGATGAATGACCCCCTTTATAGGTGAAGACAACAGGTATCAAGATTCATTGTCTAGTCGAAATTTGTCTGATGGCTTACCCACGGCAAAGCCAGAAAAGCAATGAATGGTTTCCTGCTGCCGTGGGGTGTCGTCAGAGGGGAAACTTCTGAGAGGTGAAAGCAACCCAAATGTCCATTAATGGATCAATAGACAAAATGTGGTATTTACATGCAATGAAATAGTATTTGGCCTCAAAACTCATGCTGATACCCACCCTAACAGCTATGAACCTTGAAGATATTATGCTAAGTGAAATAAGCCAGATGCAAAATGGCAAATCCTGGCCCCCTGGGCTCTGCTGTGATTTTGTGTAGCTAAAGGACCCACTCTTTGGATTGCTATTCATAATTCTACTTGTATGAAGTACCTAGAGAAATCAAATTCTTAGAGACAGAAAGTGGAATGGTGGTTGCCAGGAGCTGGGGGGAAGGGGAATGGGGAATTAGTGTCTACTGGATATTGAATTTCAGTTTGGGAAAATGAAACGTTCTGGAGATGGACCGTGGTGATGGTCACACAACCACGTGAATATACATAATGTCACTGAATTATCCACTTTAAAATGATTCAAGTGGTAAATGTTATGTTTGTATACTTTACCACAGTAAAAACAACATAGATTCCCAAGACTCTCTAAGAGGAAATTCTGACTCAGGGAGTTTGAAGAATCTGGGAATATTTTTCTAAGAAGCTTCCCAGAGGATTATCACCATCAAGGAAGCTTAGGAAACACTAATGCTTCATAATGAGCCAACAGATGTAAGGCATTGAAGTCCATGCTGATTTACAGGCATGCAATCATTGGTTGCTCAATAATAGTAGCTATTATTATTAATAATGTAAATGGTTTTGTCTGTACAACTTCCATGTGAGAATTACGATAATGATCATGGTTAGCGTTTGCAAGCACTGACTGCATGCTGAGCTTGTGTGTGTGTCAACTCATTTAATCTGCAACTTTATCTATTAGGTATGATCATTATCCCTACTGTAGATATGGGATCACCTAGGAACAGAGAGTTTAAGTAGTGTGCCCATCTATTGTGTGATAGAGCTGAGATTTGAACCCAGAAGCCACACTACAGGAAACCAGTATGCTCAATAAATTGTCATTAGATCCCCCTGACAGGAGTTTTGATCCCTTGGTCACTACTGTATCCACACTGCCTTCCTATGTACAGTAGTAGGTGCTTAATCAATGTGTTGAATGAATATTTCATCTTCATCAAAAATGGTTATCTGAATATTTGTCAAGGGAGAATTGCCCCAAGGCTGTTTCTACCAAACCCAAGCCCTTTACATTTGTCTTTGACTTCTGAGGTCCTGAAAAGTTACTGGATTGGATGGAGTTCAAAGTCCTGGGCTCAGATTTGTCCATTACTAGTGTGTGAACTTGAGAAAGCCCTTGATTTCTTCTTCAATAAAACCCTTCCTCATAACACCCCCTGCCCCATCCGGCCTCTTTGCCAAAGACTTTTAAGGATTCTCGTGCCTTGCAGGCTTGGTGGTCAGCAGCTGAGCTCAGGGTTGAGGGCTGGATAAGGAGCTGCCTGCCTGCACTTAGAGACCCCGGAGCTGTGCTCAGGAGCACAGTATGGGATTCAGCCAGGAGGACCGGAGCCCCTGGACCCAGAACTTGCAATGCGAAGTGCAGCATGATTCCAAATTGCATCCATTGCTGGTGATGGAAAACGTTTAAATCAAGGTAATATTTGTTGGACAAGACGTTGAGAAAAAAAATAAGACCATATAATGCAAGGGTGAGAAAAGTTGAGAGAAAAAAAGTCACATTGTGAGTGACAGTGTATACTGGAATAACTTTTGTGGGGTAGACAGGAAATACATATCAAATCCTTAAAACTCTGCTCTTGCTTTGATCCAGCTATTTTACTTCTAGTTACCTAGTCTAAAAAAATAATTATGGATATGCACAAATATTTGCTCATAAATTTCCTACAGAGAATGAGCCAAAGAAATAATGCTCGTATGATGGAACACAGCACAGTTATGAAAAGGGATGCCCTAGAATAGCAGATAATAATACAAAAAGATGTTCACATTGTAACAAGCAAAAAATGTCCAACATAAAACAGTGTAGAGGATGTATTCCCGTTTGTGGGTGTATAATAAATATTTCATGAACTGTTTTGGTTGTACATGCAAATGTGCTATTTTTAGGTCAGAAAAAGAATATTTAAATACTATAAGAAATATTTATAGTCTATTAAGAGAAAAGAGAAAGAAAATATATGAAATGGTACATACAATATAGTACAAATGTTGAAAATATGTATTTACTTATATGAAGAATATATATCAGAAATATGTACATGACCAAAAAAGAAGGCATTTAAGCTAAGAAAAAAAATTGATTGTCCTCATCTTATTATAAAGTGCTATCTTGGCTATTTGCATTTTTATTCCTGCCCACTACAAATAGGTTTGACTGATACACAGCAAATGGAGGCTCATCAATTCCTCCCAAATAATCTGTGAACCATCTTGCTTCCTGACCACTCTTAAAATTGTATATAAATCCTCAAGATCTTGTGATTCTTTATTTTGATCGTGTTTTTCTGTCTAATTATAATCTCAAAACAATTTACCAAAAAAAAAAAAAAAAACTGTTAGTCTCTCCTCACCAATCCTGTAGTTCACCATCATCAACTGCAGTCAACCAAAAGAAGGGGGCATTTATATCAAACACACAGGGAAGAAAAGAGATGTAGCAATAGGAAGAAGGTTTGGGTCTTGATCTTGATCTGTTTAGCTCACTGCTGAATCTCCTTGGTTAATCAGTTTTCTTTGATATTCTCCAAAGAGCAGCCTGGCTGTTCATCATATCTCAGGACTCAGACTGTTCCAAGCTTAATCTTGACAAATACACCCAGGTCGGGGAAAGAGACGTGATGGATCCTTCATCATTCCTGATGCAAGTTTCAGGCTTCCCTTCTGCTCATACTTCATTGACCAAAGCAAGTCACACAACCTCTTCTGACTTCAGGGGGAGAAGTACACCCCACGCTCGTGCCTGCAGGAGATGTGAAATGTCCATGAACGGCCCTAATCCATTCTATGCATTGCCTTGGTTTATAGGTTCATTGTCCTTTTTAGTTCATTGTGAGCTCATACAAAACAGGAATAAACTCCTTCTACATAATTAAATCTTTTTCCATCACCTAACCCCATACCTGGTACATAACAAGTACTTGATATTTATTGAATGAATAAACAATTTGTCTCACATAATGAGGTGGTAACCCCAGGAGTTTCAGAGGTTTGGGGTTGTGTGGTGTTGTCTACTGTTGGCTGGCACCACCGCCCACTTCTAGATCTCCCTTGACTAGACTCTCCTCCCCACCTGGTTTGGCTCCAGTTCAGTTAGTTTCCCAAAAAGAGGAACTTGCCTGAGCTTTGAAAGAGAAAGTGAGGAGAAGCAATTTTCTTCCAGAAGTCACAATAGACACCCATTCCCAGTGGATTCCGGGGCTCTTGGCAAACACCAGGATTGGTGGAGATTTTTCAGAGTTTCCAAAGAATTGCAATAGTTGCTGCTAAACATTAGAGAACCACCCAGATGTCCCATCTGACCTTCTAGCTATTTCCATATCCTTTCAGCTATTTTTCACTCCTCTAGATCTTGTCCATCCAGGTGAGCCCTAATACCTATAACAAACTTCTTTGTCTCCTAATAGAAAGAGTGGTTTAAATTTAGGGCCTTCCTTTACTTTTTTTTCCCCCAGGGGTTAAATGGGATTTTTCCTTTTGATCATCCTCCAAAAAATCTCACTATACTGAATCTGTAGAAATCCATCTACATGAGATTTATTATTTTTTTCTCAAGTTTTGACTGGATCAGAGGCCCAAAGATCATCTCAGAGCTCTGAGGGCACCTGCTAGCATCTCACCTCATCTCTCCAGTTAGCCACAGTCTGTCTCCTGGGCAAAGGTGCCAGTCTTAGTTTCGACAAGTAAATTAGGAACAGGTGTAGCCAGAGGCAGTCAATCTTTCAGGATTTGCAAGAAGACTGGCAAACAAGCCAGTGACCTCTGGATTCTGACCTGTAATTGCAACATCTTCCTGCTGAATTCTCAGCCCCCAGCTTGCCCCTCCAAGCAACGCTTGGTATTTTCTTCTTTTTGAAAGGAATCTTAGTGAAACTGCTACTGCACATCGAATATTGATGCCTGGTTGAAGCCAGGTTTCTGGGGCATGGATTGCACTTGTCAGGAATGCATAAACCCTTTTACTCCCTTTGAATGGAAAATGGCTGGCCATTTCAACGCTATAACTCAAAAAGCTGATGGAGAAAATCCTCCTACTTCTTTAACATTGCCAGTAGATTAAGTGAGTACTGGAAGTGAATATTAAAAAAAATATCAAGACTCAGCAGGATTTCCAGTGCTTATGCAGAATTGCTCAGGTCGATTCATTTGCCCGAATGAAACCCCACCCCCAGCATCTCTGAGTCAACATCATTACAGCCTCTGGGCTTATCTTCTTAATCAGCAGATATTTACTGGAGGCCACTTCTGCTCATCACTCTCCTGGGTCCTATGGATGTTTCATTGTCGATGTTCCTCCTCCTTCTTCTTCACGGTTTCCTCTTCATCTGTTCCCCGCTAAATAAATAGAGCCTCAACATGATCAGCCAATGCTGAGCTCTGCCATGTGGCTGATTTCTTTCATTTGGCCCACCATGCAAGTTTCCTAACTTCCACCAGAGGGCAGTACCTCTACACAACAACATGCTTACAATGCAATTTACTGTTCACACTGACGGGTCACAGCTCTGGTCTGGGTGGACAGCAAAGCAAATCCGCACCATTGTAAGTCTGTGCGAATTAGCGTGTCTTAATTTCATGCCTGTGCCTATGAGCCTATCTATGTATGCAGACAGGTGGAGCTCACATCTTAAAGTCGTTGCAAATTATTGTCACTATTGCAATGTTTACTGAACACATACCATATAACAGAAATTGTGCTACTTGCCTTAGTTTTTTTTTTTTTTCTCTTAATAAGGAATTATTCATAATGAGCACTTTATGGGAAGAAGCACCAATGAAAGGCATTAAGATGCATATGTCTTAACACTTTAAAATAAGCATTTTGCTCTGATCCTGTTGACCACCATCTAATTGACTTACAAAACCTCTTTCCTGTTAATAATAACATTTAAAAGTTAAGTACATTTAGACAAAACTCTATTTTAATGAGCTGGAAATCAGAGAGGAATATAAGGGAGAATATTAGAATTATTTCCTTGAAGTTAAAGCATTCCAGAATCTACCTACAAATTTAAAAAGCATTACCTTCTCATCCACCTGTTAAATTGTCCACATCCACCCAGAGTTCTGTGCAGATTCCTCTTGCAAACAGGAAGACAGTATTTGCAAATAGAAGGTATTATGTCCAGAGGTACCTCTGCCCCCCATTCCCAGGACACAAACAGGCACTTGCGAGAATGCAGGCTACATTGTTCTGGGCTGAGAAGTGGTCATGCAAGGCCCGGGATGGGAATGGATTGCCCAGGGGAGGACTGCAGGGGGCAGTCACTAGCTCTTTTTGATGGACAAAGACCAATGCCAGATCTGATTGTTTTGACAAATGAGGAAATTAGTAGAGGTCAACCAGAGGTCTGATAAATTTTAAAAGCTAAGGAGAGAAAAAGGAAATGGAAAGTTGTAGCCACATCTTGCAAGAGTAGCTTCAGTGTAGGTGATTAATGGACTCCTTCTCTCCCGGCAGCAGCAATGAAGCTGATACCATGGTGATTTTCCCCATCTGGGGGGAAGGAAGCTAATTCACAGAAAGGTTGTGTGACTTGACCACAGTCATACAATTAGAGGTAGAGCCTGATTTGAATCCAGGCAGACAGCTTCGGCATCTCTCTGCTTATTAACATTTATATTACACCGCTTCTCTAGGCATGAGAACCATAAGTAAAACTGGCCTACTAGTCAGTGGATCATGAGTCAGTTGCAAATTTATGAAGACAATCATGAGACAAATACTTCAAAATGTTCCCTTCTGTTAATTCTAGGTGGTGAAAGTCACAGGTATAGGATATGAATTTTTTGAAATGCTTTAAAGATCAAAATTTTAACTGCTTATGAGAGCTGAATAAAGCTTATATTTAAATTTTTAAAAACCATACATATTGAAAATATTGTACGAAGTGAAATAAGCAGACATATATTGTATGATACCACTTTTATACAGATACTATATTTCTGAGGGATCTAGGGTAGTCAAATTCATAGAGCTAAAAAGTAGAATCATTGATGGGGGGGGGGGCTGGAGGAAGGGGAAAGAGAATTACCATTTGCTACAATTTGGGTAAGGAATGTCCCTCAAAGGCCCATGTGCTGAAGGCTTGATCCAGCTTGCTATCATGGGAGGAGGCAGAAACTTTAAGGGGCGGGGCCCACTAGGCGGTCTCCAGGTGATTGGGGGTGTGCCCTTGAAGGGGATTAGGGGACCCCAGTCTCTTTTTCTTTCTGATTCCCTGGCCATGATATGAACAGTTTTGCTTTGACACACGCTCCCACCATGCTGTGCCACTACAGCCCCAAAGTCAACCAATCATGGACTAAAACCCTGAAAACTGTGATCCAAAATAAACCTTTCCTCCTTATAAGTTGATAATTTCAGGCATTTGCTATAGTGACAGCAAGTTGACTAACACGCTGTTTAATGAGTACAGAGTTTGGGGTGATGGAAATAGTAATTGCATGTTATACATATTTTAGCATATTTTTTAAAGTACACAGAAATTTTTCTTAGTAATTATTTGCTATTTTAAATATATTTTCATTTTATCGAACTAAATTTGGCAATTTCTGAAGTATCCAGGGATGCCTTGGGACTGGTTGGGTTTCCCCAGCAGCAGAGCTTAGGAGACTCAGGGAGCCTGGGGCCCTAGGGAAGGATCAGGTACCCAGGTGTCTGCCAACCTGATCAGGAGGCTCCTCCATGGGCACTAAAGGCCTGAATTGCTAGCGCCTCCTTTTACATTCTGCATCTCAGACTCTGCCATTTTGTGCCCAAGACAGAAACACAAAGGAAAGGAAGCTTTATAATACAAGACATCTGAAAACTCTGGCTCCATAGGAATCAGTCCCCATGACACAGAGACTTTTAAGAGGGAGAAGCTAGTCATGAGGACAGGGGACAACAAGCCAGCCAGGCATTACCAGGGAAAAGGGGGGACCATCCATCCACACACCTGCAGCACCTCACCCATGATCACATGACTGTCCTTCTAGGTCTGCATCAACCAACTGCATTGCCACAGGAAGCTTGCCCAGGAAGAAGAGAGGGCAGGTCACTTTATTATTCATTGGCAGAACTTCCTGACCATCTAGTCAATGTACACCCCTTCTTGGGACCGTAGATAACAGCAAACTAGTCCAAATCCTCACCTCTCTGTGTCTCCTGGTCCTAAACTATTATGTGCCAAATTTCCAGTTCTGATCCAGCTCAGCCAAAGCTCACTTGAATCAGGACATTCACTAACCCACCACTTTGTTATCTCCTTCCCAAGATCCTCAATCTCAGAATCTGTCACTAGGTCTATAACACATTTGGCTTTGCCTCAACACCAGTCTGTTTGGGTGGTGTTTGGGGGAACCCCAGAGATACTGGATTGCTGTGCACAGACTCTCAGCAAAAGGGCCACTCCAGGGTTGGGGAGAATAATCCCCAAACTCCTAACTCTTGGAATGTATGATGGTATGTATAGGGGAGGAAAAGTAATTCCATTTCCTCACCCATCACAAGGATCATGGCTGACACCCCTATGACAAAAGACCAATTCATAAGAGAAAAGAATCACAAATGTATTTAACCAAAGTTTTCAGTGACACAGGGAAATAAGCCCCAAAGTTTCAGGGACAACTGTGCATTTTTTGCCTAGGCTCCATGAAGAATGGACAGTTGTGTAGAAGTACAATTGGACATCTACAAGAGGGGATCTGAGGGTGATAAACTGGGCCAGGGGGCCTCGACAAGGCCTGTCTGTTCAAAACCTCCTTGGCATCCAGTCATGGGGCAGGAGACCCACCACATGAGGACTTAGGGATGGTAGGTCAGGGAATTTCTTTATAATTAGCTCTCACACAGAAAGGTGGAAGGTCAGGCTGCTCTGTTTCCGCAGT